TCCCAATCCCAAATCCTGGTTTGGGGGCATCTCCCAATCCCAAATCTCGGTCTGGGGGCGGTTCCCAATCCCAAATCCTGGTTTGGGGGCGGTTCCCAATCCCAAATCTCGGTCTGGGGGCGGTTCCCAATCCCAAATCCAGATTTGGGGGCGGTTCCCAATCCCAAATCCCGGTTTGGGGGCATCTCCCAATCCCAAATCCCGGTTTGGGGGCGGTTCCCAATCCCAAATCCCAGTCTGGGGACGGTTCCCAATCTCGGACCCCTCTGGATCCCCCTGGAAATGCCTGGAACAAACCTCGGGATCGGCCTGGCCCCAACCACCCACGCGGCAGCCAAGAATTCCAGAAGTTTCCATCCCCAATTCCTCCCGGATTTACCTGGAGCGGCTCCTCCTCCCGGCAAAATCCGGGATTTGGGATCATCCCCGGGCCATCCCTGCAGGAAACTCCATGGAGAGGGAATTTTATGGAAGGAATTTCATGGAAGGAATTTAATTCCCAGAATTTTTTAAATTTCTTTAATTTTTTTTATTATTTATATTTTATTATATATATTATATATATATTAATTAATTTATAATTAATTTTTAAAAATTAATCGGGGATGAATTGACCGTGGATAAAATCATCCTGGATAAAATGATGGATAAAATAATCCTGGATAAAATGATGGATAAAATCATCATGGATAAATTAATCATGAATAAAATTATGGATAAAATGATGGATAAATTAATCATGGATAAAATGATGGATAAATTAATCATGGATAAAATAATAATGGATAAAATGATGGATAAAATGATGGATAAAATAATCCTGGATAAAATGATGGATAAAATCATCGTGGATAAAATAATCATGAATAAAATGATGGATAAAATGATCATGGATAAATTAATCATAGATAAAATGCTGGATAAAATCATGGATAAAATCATGGATAAAATAATAATGGATAAAATGATGGATAAATTAATCATGGATAAAATGATGGATAAAATCATTGATAAAATAGTAATGGATAAAATCATGGATAAAATTAGAGATAAAATAATCCTGGATAAAATGATGGATAAAATCATCATGGATAAAATCATGGATAAAATGCTGGATAAAATGCTGGATAAAATCATGGATAAATTAATCATGGATAAATTAATCATGGATAGAATGATGGATACAATCCCGGATAAATTAATCATGGATACAATCCGGATAAATTAATCATGGATAAAATGATGGATAAAATGCTGGATAAAATGATGGATAAAATCATGGATAAATTAATCATGGATAAAATGCTGGATAAAATGAATGATAAAATCATGGATAAATTAATCATGGATAAAATGATGGATACAATCCCGGATAAATTAATCATGGATACAATCCGGATAAATTAATCATGGATAAAATGATGGATAAAATGATGGATAAAATCATGGATAAAATGCTGGATAAAATGATGGATAAATTAATCCCGGATAAAATGATGGATAAAATCCCGGATAAATTAATCATGGATACAATCCCGGAGCTTTGCCGTTCCCGGGATCTCTCAATTCCTGCCGCTTTTCGGCCCCCCAAAAGCGCTCGGGGAGGGAAAATCGGGATCGGGAATGCCTGGAAAGGCGGAGGAGCCGCTCCCAGCGGGAGCTCGGAACCGGCAGCGGCGGCGGCGGGGCCCGCGGAGCCCCCGGGAGCGGGGGAAGGGACCGGGGGACCGGGAGGGAACCGGG